CGCCTTGAGCTGAAGAGCTGAGGGACAGCGCCCAGGCCCAGAGTTCAAGCCCCATGACCGACAAAAAAAAAAAGAAATATTAATGATAAGTACTCGGTATTAAAGTCATGATTAACTAGTTTTAACATTTCGACCCACTTTGTGAGTTTACATTAAACTAGCATTGAAGCTGGGCTTCCCAGCACTTTTGAGACTAAGGCAAGAGAACATGGTGAGTTGAAGCCAGTCTGGGCTATATAAGAAAGAAAAGCCAGTATCTTTAAAACAAAAAAAAACAGATGACTGTTATTGATGGCAACATCAGTGAATTCACTTAGATACCATAATGACTCTTAGGTATCAGTTATTTTGGTTTTTTAAACATTTAGGACTTTGTGTTTGTGAGCCCAGTAAGTGCCTGAGTGATCTGTTGGGGAATGTGAGAAAGTTCAGTCATTATTAATAAAGTTCCCCTTCTTTCTGTGCTAGAATTGATCTTGCTGTTCTGTTGGGAAAGACACCATCTTCAATGGAGAATGATTCATCTAATTTGGATCCATCTCAGGCCCCTTCTCTGGCCCAGCCTCTGGTATTTAGTAATTCTAAGCAGAGTGCTATATCACAGCCTGCTTCAGGGAACACGTTTTCTCATCATAGCATGGTAAGTAGGAAATTCCCACCACCTAAACTATACACAGGTAGTCATTCTTCTATCAAAGTTGTTGTTGTTCTTATCATCATTGCCAGTCCTGGGACTTGAACTCAGGGCTTGGGCACTGTCCCTGAGCTGCTTTTTGCTCAAGGCTAGCTACTCTACTACTTGAGCCACAGCGCCACTTCCCACTTTTTCTGTTGTGTATGGTACTGAGGAATTGAACCCAGGGCTTCATGTATGCTAGGCAAGTACTCTACCACTGAGCCACATTCCAGCCCCAAAGTTAATTTTTTTTTTTTTGCGGGGGTGGGGGTGGGGTGGGTCCGGTGGGTGGGTGGTGGTGGTCTGGTCAGGGGCTTGAACTCTGGGCCTGGGTGCTGTCCCTCAGCTCTTCAGCTTAAGGCTAGCGCTCTACCACTTCAGCCACTGTGCCACTTTGGCTTTTTTCTTTTTGCTTATGTGGTGCTAAGGAATTGAACCCAGGGCCTCCTGCATGCAAGGCAAGTGCTCTACCACTGAGCCACCTTCCCAGCCCCCTAAGTTAGTTTTTAAGGTATTTCTTAGCTTCATTTTCAATTCTCACATCAGGCAACACTTAATTCCCAAAATAGGATGATAGATATCCCATTATCTTAAGCAGAAGAGGTTTTTTAGGTAGAAAAGTCTGAAGAAAGCAGAAACAACAGAAAGTAGATTAGTTATTCCTAAATTACTTTCCTTTTGGGACAATAAAAAATAATCAGTATGTGGTTATGTTTTCTGTGTAAAGATAAAGGCTAAGGAATGTCAAGGTCCATGTTTGTATTTTTTTTGGGGGGGGAGGGCCCGGTCTTGGGGCCTGAACTCTGGGCCTGGGCGCTATCCCTCAGCTCTTCAGCTCAAGGCTAGTGCTCTACCACTTGAGCCACAGCGCCACTTCCGGCTTTTCTTCTTTTTGCTTATGTGGTGCTGAGGAATCAAATGCAGAGCCTCAGGCATGCAAGGTAAGCGCTCTACCACTGAGCCACCTTCCCAGCCCCCCATGTTTGTATTTCGGTGTAGAAATTGTGAAGCTTGAGGTTTTGAGATTATCTAGGCCAAAAATACAAAGTTAATAAGCTGTACATACTGCTGTGCACCATAACCCTAGCTGTACAGGAAATGTTCATTGGTTTAGGCCAGCCTTATCAGCAGTATTCTAAGACCCTCTCTGAAAGTAACAAAAAGCCAAAAGATTTTGTGGCCATAGTGCCAACATGTTAATCAGATTTTTTGGGGGGGGGTCTGGTCAGGGGGCCTGAATTCTGGGCCTGAGCGCTGTCCCTCAGCTCTTCAGCTCAAGGCTAGCGCTGTACCACTTGAGCCACAGTGCCACTTCCAGCTTTTTTCTTTTTGCTTATGTGGTGCTAAGGAATCGAACCCAGGCCTCAGGCATGCAAGGCAAGCACTCTACCACTGAGCCACCTTCTCAGCCCCAGATTTTTTTTGTCTTTTTTTTTTGGTTCGGTTATGGGGCCTGAACTCTGGGCCTGGGCGCTGTCCCTCAGCTCTTCAGCTCAAGGCTAGCACTCTACCACTTGAGCCATAGCAGCACTTCCTGCTTTTTTCTTTTTGCTTATGTGGTGCTGAGGAATCGAGCCCAGGGCCTCATGCATGCAAACAAGCACTCTACCACTGAGCCACCTTCCCAGCCCTTGTTAATCAGATTTTAATTGTTTTACAATTCTAATTAAACTGAAGGTTGTTGCATTTCCTTATTTCTTAATAGGATAAAATTGTTTTATGTATTTTAAAATAATTTTTTATTAATATTAAGTGATTACATAAGCAACAAATTTTACAGTATTGTGGGATAGTGATTCTTTTTTTCTTTTTTTGGTCCGGTCGTGGGGCCTGAACTCTGGGCCTGGGTGCTGTCCCTCAGCTCTTCAGCTCAAGGCTAGCACTCTACCACTTGAGCCACAGCGCCACTTCCAGCTTTTTTCTTTTTGCTTATGTGGTGCTGAGGAATTGAACCCAGGGCCTCATGCATGCAAGGCAAGTGCTCTACCACTGAGCCACCTTCCTAGCCCCTCTAGGTACTTTTTTAGGCTGGCCTGGAACCAAAATTTTCCAGTCTTCCTAATAGCAAAGAAAGACAGGCATGTGTCATTGAACCAGTAATGGGTTAAGGAGTCTTAAAATCCTCTCATTCTCAGCATCCCAAGTAACTAAGATTACAGCCCTTCACCTTGCTTCAAACACTTTCAATATTGTTGCCTCTTTTTTTTTTTTCTCTTTTCTTTTTTGCCAGTCCTTGGGCTTGACCTCAGGACTTGGGCCCTGTCTCTGAGCTTTTGCTCAAGGCTAACACTTTACCACTTCAGCCACAGTGTCACATTTGGATTTTTCTGCTTATGTGGTGCTGAGGAATCAAACCCAGGGCTTCATGCATGCTAGGCGAGCACTCTGCCACTAAGCCATGTTCCCAGCCCTGGCCACCCTCTTTTTTTTTTTTTTTTTTTTGGTCAGTCGTGGGGCCTGAACTCTGGGCCTGGATGCTGTCCCTCAGCTCTTCAGCTTGAGGCTAGCACTCTACCATTTGAGCCACAACACTACTTCCAGCTTTTTGTGCTTATGGTGCTGAGGAATCGAACCCAAGGCCTCATGCATGCAAGGCAAGCACTCTACCATTGAGCCACTTTCCCAGCCCACCACCTCGCTTTTTAAGAGACAGTTTTCTACTGTGTAACCCAATCTCATTTAGGACTGTAGTTACGTTTTGCTTTTAAAATAGTTCATTTCTGCCATGTGGGTAATCCACACATATAATTCTAACTACTAAGGGGGCTGAGATCTGAGGATCATTATTCAAAGCTAGCCCAGGCAAGAAAGTCTGTGAGACTCTTATCTTCAATTAACCACCAGAAAAATGGAAGTGGTGCTGTGGCTCAAGTGGAAGAGCACCAGCCTTGAGCTGAAAAGCTCAGTGACAGTGCCCAGGCCCACAACCTATCAGAAAAAATAAAAATAAGGTCTAGGAAGGTGGCTCAGTGGTAGAGCGCTTGCCTTGCATGCATGAGGCCCTCAGTTCGATTCCTCAGCACCACATAAGCAAAAAAGCAAAAAGCCAGAAGTGGCGCTGTGGCTCAAGTAGTCGAGCGCTAGCCTTGAGCTGAAGAGCTGAGGGACAGCGCCCAGACCCAGAGTTCAGGCCCCACCACCGGACCCAAAAAAAAAAAATAGTTCTTTTCCCCTGATAGTCCTTTTTCATTTTTAGGTGCTACAGGCTCTGCAGTGAAATCTGACTCACCTTCTACTTCTAGTATCCCCCCTCTCAATGAAACGGTATCTGCAGCTTCCTTACTGACCACAACCAATCAGCACTCATCCTCGTTGGGTGGGTTAAGCCACAGTGAGGAGATTACAAATACCACCACCACGCAACACAGCAGGTGATTTGGGGTGAGGATAGAGGTTAAGGTTGGTGAGTTTCAATAACAGGGCTCTGTGGTCCTGTCTTATGCCATCTACATAATAGAGACCACATTAGCCCTTCTTTTGTGTTAAGTGGGTGACCTACAAGTTACTTGAAATGATAACAGATGAATACTTATTTTCCCCTTTCAACATCAGCTCTTGCTTTAAGTGCTTACTATACCTGCCTTTTGTTTATTGTATGATCTTATACCTCCTTAACTTCTGTATTCTGTCTTTATGTAAGCACCATGGGTCAGGTAGCCATAACACTTTTGTTGATGTCAATCTCTTTATCCTTATAGCACATTATCTACGCAGCCGAATACCTTATCATCATCAACATCTTCTGGGCGCACTTCAACATCCACTCTTTTGGTAACTATGACATAGTGAGAAGCAATGAATGGTTCTTAGAGTTTTAACATCCAACCCCAAGGTTCTCAGAGGGAATTTTTGAAATTCTCTTTGTGACTTTGTACATTTACTGAATTGAGATTATAGGACAAAGGAGGGGTGCTGGGAGGCAAAGAGAAGCCACAGAAACCAGAAATACTGCAGAGCTTAAAACTCAAAAGTCATCTGGGCATCAGTGACTCACACCTATAATACTAGGTACTTAGGAGTTTGATACATGAGGATTATGGTTCAAAGCCAGCCCAGGCAGAAAAGTCAGTGAGACTCTTAGCTCCAGTTAACCACCAAAAAACCTGAAATGGTGCTGTGGTTCAACTGGTAGATCATTAGCCTTGAGACACAAAGCTAAGGGACAGTGCCCAGGTCTAGTTCAAGCCCCCAGTGTTTGCCCCTCCCCTCCCCCAAATTAAAAAAAAAGTATAAAGCAGAGGTCAGGGTACAGCTTTTGGTCAAAGAATTGATTGCAAAATATAACATCTATTTCTGAAGTTAAGCTGAGTTAAGGACATTTGCTTGGGGAAAGATCTGAAGGTAAAACTTGTGTAGGAGTCTCTTTTTCCTCAGATACATAATTTTAAGTTTAAAGTCAGATCTTATCCTTTTCCTTGCTCATGAGCTAGTAACTCATTTTATAGGACTTAGTGAAGGAAAGTTTGGTAATGAAGGCTATGATGTATTTATCTTTGCTGACCTCTGTTACTAACTGTTGCCCTCTCTATTCCACTGCTCCCTGTTTTTGAAGCACACAAGTGTGGAAAGTGAGGCGAATCTCCATTCTTCCTCCAGCACTTTCTCTACCACATCCAGCACAGTCTCTGCACCTCCCCCAGTGGTCAGTGTCTCCTCCAGTCTCAATAGTGGCAGTAGTCTGGGTCTCAGTTTAGGCAGCAACTCCACCGTCACAGCCTCAACTCGAAGCTCAGTTGCTACGACTTCAGGTAGTCTTTTCTAGGTGGGTGGCAGTCCTCTGGGATGGAAGAGGTAAGTAATTGTGTGGCAGTATAAAAATGTTATTTCTCTTTTAGGAAAAGCTCCTCCCAACCTTCCTCCTGGGGTTCCGCCGTTGTTGCCTAATCCATATATTATGGCTCCCGGGCTGTTACATGCCTACCCAGTAAGTGAGACAGAAGGGTCTTCACAAGGGGAAGATGGTGTGTCTACTCTTCATAGCTCTGCCTTCAGGTGGAAGACTGTAATTACAGAATAAATGAATACTTGTCACATATAAGTAAACAGGTTTTTAATCTTTGTAGTGTTGGAGAAAAACTAGTTTTCAGAAGGGAGCTTCCTCTATTGTATACTTACTGTATGTGAAGTACAAATTTTGGATCTCAATTCCCAAAGGTTAGACTGCTTCTTAGAGAATTATTTTTTTATACTTGCATCAATTCCCTAATTGTGTCAATCTTTTGCTGGCTCTGACCTTACTACAACAGAGTTCTCTATCCTGAGCATAAATGGCTTCTGCCCTGGTCTCCTTGTATTTAGTACCTATTGATATGAAGGATAGCTGGGTGCCTGTGGGGAGGCTGAAATTTGAGGGTCATGGTTCAAAAAGCTAGCCTGAACACAGAAGTCCTTGAGACTCTTATCTCCAGTTAACCACCAAAAAGCCAGAAGTGGAGCTATGGCTCAAGTGGTAGAACAATGGCAAAGTTTAGGCTCTGAGTTCAGGTCTCAGGACCAGCACCAAAAAAAAAACAAACCCAAAAAGGATAGTTAAGACACCTGTTTTTGTCCTTGGAGAAGAAATCTAAGTAAACATCATGCACATAAAATGCCCAAGTAGCACTATTATACATTTTTTAAACACTAACACTTAGTGCCCAAAAATTGGAGGGAAAAAAATAGTAAAATATGAATCCTGCCGGGTGCCAGTGGCTCACGCCTATAATCCTACCTTCTCAGGAGACTGAAATCTGAGAAACATGGTTCAAAGTAAGCCCAGACAGGAAAGCCCTTGAGACTCCAATTAACCACCAGAAAACTGGAAGTGACGCTGAAGTGGTGCTGTGGTTCAAGTGGTAGAGCGCTTGCCTTGAGCTGAAGAGCTGAGGGAGAACGCCCAGTTTAAACCCCACAACTGACATAAATAAATAAATACATAAATAAATCAAATCCTTCCAAGAGGAGATAAATTTTAAGCTAGATTTTTTTTTAAAATTTTTAATAATATTTTTATCTTTAATCCAGATTTTGAAGACTGAAGACAAGAGACTACTAGAATAGAAAGTAAAGCCGGCTGTTTATTATGTACTTGTGTCTCCCTTACTGGTACCCAGAGGCTAGCCTAGTTTGAATCAGTTGTATGTAGATCATGAAAGCTTCAAAAACTTTTCCATTGATCTTTTGATAAACTCTTTGTACTTTTTTTTCCTACTTAAAACTAAAGGAAATAATTTGTGTCTTGTTCAAAAAATGAGAATGAATGTTGTATTGAATTACATTTCAGTTTCTTTTGTTACCATCATGACCAGTGCTCATTAATACTGTTACATGTCTTTATTTTTCAGCCACAGGTCTATGGTTATGATGACTTGCAAATGCTTCAGACGAGATTTCCATTGGTGAGTATGTGAGTAGAGCCTTGGAATGAACATTAAAAATTAAAATTGGAAGGATTATCTCACACATTCAACTTTTGTTACATAACTATCTAGTTCCTAATTTGTCCTTCTGTTAAAACTGCTCCTATAAATTCCTATATTTGGTGCAGGGAATGTGGCTTAGTGGTAGAGTGCTTGCCTAGCATGCATGAATCCCTGGGTTCGATTCCTCAGTACTACATAAGCAGAAAAAGCTGGAACTGGAGCTCTGGCTTAAGTGGTAGAGTGCTAATCTTGAGCCAAAAAAACTTAGGGACAGTACTCAGGTCCTGAGTTTAAACCCCAGGACTGGCACAAAAAAAATCCCTATATTCTAATATATCTTGAAAGTGTGTTGTTTTGTTGTGGTGCTGGGATGAAATCTAGTGCATAACATCTGCTAAGCACAATCTGCCACTTTGTATATCCCACAGCTTAAATGGTGGACTAATCACTATTCATACACTTCTTATTAATGTCAGTTTCCTGTTCTATTTTTATTTTTTGTAATACTTGAGGTTGAAACCCAGGACTTTGACCAGACAAGTGTTCTTCTGCTGAACACTTTACTCTTTACTCTCCTTTTCCCTTTTTAAAAATAGATAGAGTATTCTCATGTTACCTAGACTCCTGGGCTCAAGTGGATCTTCCTGTGTCAGACTCTCCAGTAGCTGAGACTACAGGCGTGTACCATGTCCCTGGCCTTGCTTCTTCTCTTCCTTTCCTTTCTCTCTCTTCTCTACCTTCTCTTCCTTCCCCCTGCCATTACAGCTTCTATCATTTTCTCCTTTGCTTTTCTTTTTCTTCCATTCTTTTTTTTTTTTTTTTTTTTGTGGGGCCTGAACTCTGGGCCTGGGCGCTGTCCCCCAGCTCTTCAGCTCAAGGCTAGCACTCTACCACTTGAGCCACAGAGTCACTTCCGGCTTTTTTCTTTTTTCTTATGTGGTGCTAAGGAATCGAACCCAGGGCCTCAGGCATGCAAGGCAAGTGCTCTACCACTGAGCCACCTTCCCAGCCCTTTGTTTTTGTTTTTGTTTTTGGTAGGTAGTGAGGCTTCAACTCAGAGCATGTGCACTGTCTCTGAGCTCTTTTGCTCAAGGCTAGTCCTCTACCACTTTGGGCTTTTTGATGGGTAATTGGAGATAAGCGTCTCAAGGATTTTCCTGCCTGGGCTGGCTTCTAGCTACAATCCTCTCAGATCTCAAGTCTCCTGAGTAGCATAGTAGGCTTTCTATTGGACATGCACTTAAGATTGTATAGAGGAAATACCTCTTAAAATAATTTTGGTGTAGATTTATAAATTTGGTGTAGATTTATGAGGAGGCTTAAAAATGTTGTTTCTTGATGTGTTCTCCAAAAGGCATATCCGTAGACCTTGCCTTACTCAGATCATGGTCAGGTAGGGGGGACAGTGTATGCCAGAGTAATTGGAGTTCATGCCTTCTCTTATCAGCTTAATCAGTGGGTTGATAAATTGCAGTACTCCAACATTCACCTGTGGTTCTCAGGCTGGAAAATGAATGTTATTAAATCTCTGCTTTTTTATTTCTCTGTCTAGGACTACTACAGTATCCCATTTCCCACACCTACCACTCCACTGACTGGAAGGGATGGTAGCCTGGCCAGCAATCCTTATTCTGGTAGGACTGGGATAGTGATTAATAAAGGGAAATATATTGGCAGAAACCTGATTAATAGTGAGAAGGGACCCATTCAGTTCCTGCCATAAGTAAAGGTCGTCAGTAGACATGTAGAAGAGATGTGGCAAATGAGGGATTTAGGTTCATCATCCTGCTAAAAATGAGCGTGTGGCAGGTGGTGTGTGCGTGTGCGTGCGTGCGTGTGTGCGTGCGTGTACTGGGGATTGAACCCAGGGCCTCATACTTGCTAACCTTAGCCTCTACCTAGTCTCTCCATATGATACCTTAACTTAGTTTGCTCAGCTATTCTCACCTTTTTCTAGAGGGTTCATTGGTTGAATTAGCCCATGTTCTCTGCTCACTGTACTTTACAGTGGTAATCTTATTTCACTATTAGGCTTTGAGCCTCATTTTTCTTACCTCCCTGTAGTTATCGCTGACTTTATTTTCTGTGGTCTGACATTGTCCTTAAAGTCTAGCCTGATGATGATATGATGGGGAGAAAGGGGATGGAGATGAAACAAAATAAGCTGGCAGAGAAACTATGTAACAACTTTGTTCTAGGAACCTCCCTCTGCATAACATTGTAGTTATTCAACATTAGTGGGGGGGCGGGGTTATTCCTTTGATTTGGGTTGTTTTTTTTTTTTTTTTGAGCTAGGATTTGAATCTAGGGCCTAATGCTATATCATTTAACCATGTCCTCAGCCCTCAACATTAGTCTTGACTTCTGCTGTGTTAAATATATGCTAAGCAGTTCAAAATAGAGCTGTAAAAAAACATAGTTTAAGAAATTGAACTTGAGTCTTTGAATATGATCTCCTAGAATGATGTGAGATGAGACCAGTAATTCTGCCTTGGTATTGTGGTAAAAGATGTACAGTGAGCTTCTCTTGTCACAGGTGACCTCACCAAGTTTGGCCGTGGGGATGCCTCCTCTCCAGCTCCAGCCACAACATTGGCCCAGCCCCAACAGAACCAGACGCAGACTCACCACACCACGCAGCAGACATTCCTGAATCCGGCGCTGCCTCCTGGCTACAGTTATACCAGCCTGCCATACTATACAGGGGTTCCGGGCCTCCCCAGCACCTTCCAGTATGGGCCTGCTGTGTTCCCTGTGAGTACCTAGTTTTAGTTTCCTTGTAGTGAAGGATCTCAGCCCTGAACACTATCCTAGTTGCTTTCAAGCTAGGTGACTCTTTGGTAGTGAATGAGGAGAAACAGTTGGCACTTTTGGTCTGTTTCTGGTCTGGGAAGGGGGAGTGGAACTTGAATTGCTGATATCAGAAGAGGAGTTACCTACTCTTAGGCTTAAAAAGGGGAGTCCAGCTAACCTTACCTGATAATGCCCAGCCCCTGGAGTTAGAACATTTGGGGATAGACAGTATCTGCCATTTCATTGAAGTTCTGGCCTTTTTTTCCTTCAGGTGGCTCCTACCTCTTCTAAGCAGCATGGTGTGAATGTCAGTGTGAATGCATCAGCCACCCCTTTCCAACAGCCAAGTGGATATGGGTCTCATGGATACAACACTGGTAAGCTCCCCCGTGGCCCTGGCTTAATTACTGAATGAACTTTAGGAAAAAGACTTGATTCCTGGTAAAACGGGGTTGGTGAGGGTATGCTGTTCTCTACATAATGATTGTTAGTGCTTGGCTGACTTGAGTTTCTGGGAGCAGCACCAACAGAACTCGATACTGACAACATTTCATAACTCATAATTGAGAGGAATGCTCAAGGGTTATTTGTTGGTTATTAAAATATTTGGACTGACTTGTTTTGAACCCCAAAATTTTGCTTAGATGTCAGTGGAGGCAAGTGTTAACTTGTATGATACTGATGATACTAGAATACTAAAAGAAGAGTTTAATGTCTTCTTAGCTAACAGGCTATGATAAACTTTGGCTTAAGTTTTTCAATATAACTCTTTTTGGTCCTTGGCTAGAAAACCTAATATACTGACAGAAAGGAGTAGACATGAATACTCAGTAGAGTGAGAATTGGACTGAGAGAATTGGAGCCTTCAATTCCTTCATTTGTATGCTGGTCTTGCAAAGCCTATTTGCACATCTAAGAGGAAGGGTAATATAGGAATCCTCTCCATATGTATAATAAAGATATGTACACTATGCCTTGTTTATTTTTTGTGTTTTGTTTTTTTTTTTTTTTTACCAGTTCTGGGGCTTCAACTCCGGGCCTACACACTGTCCTGAGCTTTTTGCCTAAGGCTGGTACTCTGCCACTTGACCTACAGCGTCACTTCTGGCCTTTTCTGTTTATGTGGTACTGAGGAATTGAGCCCTGGGCTTCATCCATGCTAGGCAAGCACTCTAAAGCTACATTCCCAGCCCCTTTGCCTTGTTTTCATACCTGACATTTGTGATTCACTTTAGCAGGGTAGATGTAAGTATAGGAGTTTGGGCATAATTCCATCCACTTTTTTTGTGTGTGACTGTTAGGTGAATATGGGGAAGAATATTGCTGCTATTACTAGAGGTTGAGAATTATCCTTAAAACTTAGTTTCATGGCAATTTGGAAGAAGTAGCCAGTAAGCTCTGGCAAGATATTAAAAACCTCACCCAGGTTGGGAAGGTGGCTCAGTGGAAGAGTACTTACCTTGCATGTATGAGTCTCTGGGTATGCTTCCTCAGCACCACATAAACAGAGGAAAAAAACGGAAGTGGCGCTTTGGTGCAAGTGGTAGAGTGCTAGCCTTGAGCTGAAGAGCTGAGGAACAGCACCCAGGCTCAGAGTTCAAGCCCCACAACCGACAAAAACAAAAAAAACCCTCACCCATGGTTTTCAATAATTAGTTTAAGCTGATAGGTCTAGATATTAATAGACAGATAGATAGGTAGATCTTTTTAATTGTTATCTGATTTAGTGTCATTATTGTAATTTTGAAAATCTTTGGAAGCCCCATTGAAATTTAATACCCAGGGGCTGGGAAGGTGGGTCAGTGGTAGAGTGCTTGCCTTGCATGCATGAGACCCTGGGTTCAATTCCTTGGCACCACATAAGCAGAAAAAGCTGGAAGTGGCACTATCGCTCAAGTGGTAGAGTACTAGCCTTGTGCTGAAGAGCTCATAGACAGCGCCCGGTCCCAGAGTTCAGGCCCCACAACCAACCAGAAAAAAAAAAAAAAAGAATTTTAAGAGATAGTAGTTGACAATATGAGAGTTGGACTGTCCGATTCTGGATATCCTAACTTCTTACTTCCCTTAAGATTTCAGAAACCTGTTATAATAGCCTTTTTAGAACCCCCTCCCCCAGTTCCCAACCCCACAGAGGGCTCTTATTCTATTCTTCATCAACCTCTAAATTCATATATTTTTGTGTATTTGATTCCTTTTAGGAAGAAAATATCCACCCCCTTACAAGCATTTCTGGACGGCTGAGAGCTAATTTGGCCCAAGGCTGGGGGCTGTGTTTTATGTGTGTGTATAAATTTGCACTGAAGTCTTGTTTCAGAAACCAAACCACTGAGGAGAGCCTGCTGAGCTGAGGCCATGGCCTGCGTGGCTTGGGGAAAATGAGTTGGTGGATACCTTCTGGGCTTTTGAACTTGCCTCTCCCCCATTTCCCTCTTCCCCCATGTGTCTGACCCTGTCTTACCCATTTTGAGTCCAAGCGGTGCAACACCTCTGAAACATCAATGCACACACCTGCTGTTGCTTTTGATTTCTGAAAGGCATGTAGTTCCAACTTGTAACAAAAATATTTGTAGTCTTCAATAAACTGTGGTATTTCTTTAGCTAACTCTGGCGTTCTTTCCGTGAATGTCTTTCTGGACACTAGGAACCAATTAATGCTGTGGATGAAGGGTGGAGGGTGGTCTTTTCAGTCAAATGCTAGCATAGCCACAGAGCTTTTAGTTTTCCGGTGCAGTGGTTTTTTAGGGCGGGTGTGGGGAGGGGAGTAGCCTCAGTCTCCAGCTGTTGATTGGCTGGTAAAGAAAGTATGTGTAAACAAACTCAACTCCTCCTGCTTAAATGTCTTCACTCTTCTATCTAGATCTTCCCTTTGCCTGTGACAAGTGCAGAGGGGAAGGGACAAAAAAGTTTAGAGTGCCATTTCATGGTGAAAGGCAGAGATGGTGTTCAGATCTGTTAGGAACTATCTTCCAAGGCTTCATTTCTACATCTAGTTCCCAAAGACAGACTGGCTAATTGAGATCTGATAAAATCATAACTAATCACTTTGTTGATGATTCAGGCTTTGGAACATTGCCAGCTAGCTCACCTGGAACATTGTTCTCAGTTCTTTGATGCCTTCTTGGAGATTCTTGTTTATTAGTTGTTTTGTACTTGTGTGTGTAGTAAGGATGCATAAGAGAGGTTTGGGTAGACATCCTGACTAGAAATTCTAGTCCCTACTAAGTCTACTCACTAATACACCACCAATCCTTTAGTTTACTTGAGCATTGAGACCATCACTATTAGTTAACTGGAAATCATACTACTCAGATTTCCTTGTAATTATTTCTCCACAGCCCTCTGGAATAATTTCATTCTGTTGAGGGTGACCAACTTTTTCTGTGGACTGCTGTAATAGAAGAGATGGAGTCTTAATTCTCCTCTCAATCACTCATATTGTATTGGAATGATATTACTGTTTAAGGATGGAAATAGGCAGGACATTCTGATGTTGGAAGAAAGTAGAGAAACAAATACTTCTAGGTTCTCTTAATGTTTACGGTTACTATTTGTTTTTCCTGCATTTATAGTCTCTTCAACCCTATATTCAATTTAAGTCTTGTGGACTAGAAACTGGTATTTAGCTAGCTAAGAATAAGACAAGATAGGGGCAGGGGCATATTAGAACCTAATTTCCCCTTCCACCCAGCTTGAGGATCCAGTTAGTTAATTCTCTTCTCTGTAGGCAACCTAGTCTCAACTTTGCAAAGGGTACCTAACTGATAGATAGATCACTGTATATAGATCAAGTGTAGATAGATCGTTATCTCTGGGTTTATCTTTAAATAAATGTCCCATTTATAGTTTGTGTGTTCCACTTTCTATTTTAACCCTTCCACACGAACAATATTAACTTTAGCTTTTTCAATAACTAAACTCCCAGTGTTTTGCCAGAAGGTCAGCTGGGAAAGGAAAAAAAGGGGGAAAGGGATAAAAGTTCTCCTAAGGTCCTTCAGAGTTTTGTTGTATCATTCCCATTAAGTGCATTTAAAGTATACATCTTACTTTGAAGTTGGGAAGTCTTTTTCTCTGATTTTTGTAGTTTTGTTTTTTTTGAGACAGTATTTCACTGTGTATAGGCCCAGGCTAGTCTTGAACTAAAATCTTTCTGCCTCCCAAGTACTGGGATTACAGGAGTGTGCCACCATGTCTAACTTATAGTTCTGTTCTTTTTCATAGTTTATATTTGTTTCCCTTTAAAATTGGATTTTAGGGCTGGGAAGGTGACTCAGTGATAGGAGTGCTTGCCTTGCATGCATGAGGCACCCTGGGGTTTGATTCCTCAGCATCACATAAGCAGAATTGGCACTGTGGCTAAAGTGGTAGATCACTAGCCTTGAGCTGAAGAGCAGCACCCAGATCCAGAGTTTAGTCCCTAGGCCAAATAAATAAATAATTGGATTTTAGCATGTGGGAAGTTAAGATGCTCTTTTTCTTCCCCCCTTTTTGTGCTAGAGATCAAACCCACTACCTCCCACTGGACAAGTGCTCTACTATTAAGCTTAAACCTCAATTCCCTCTCCCCCCAAGATGCCACTTTGATTGGGAAGATTCTATTATTCCAGGTGAACATGACTTTTGAAGGCAGCATTTGTCCTGAACATTGGTTGGATTTGGGTCCTGGAGTTTGAAGGACTGCTGTTGAATTGTTGGTGAATGGGGGACTCCTCACTTGTAATTGGGCCACTAGGACCAGGGCTTCTAAACACTTTTCCATCAGTGTTACTAACATTAGAGGAGTGTACCTCTGGAAGGTAGGGTCTAAGGCCATAAGCACAAATGTGACCTTTTTTTTTGGTCAGTTGTGGGGCTTGAACTCGGCCTGGACGCTGACCCTCAGCTTTTCAGCTCAAGGCTAGCTCTCTACTACTTGAACCACAGCACCACTTCCATTTTTCTGGTGGTTTATTGGAGATAATCTTGCAGACTTTCCTGCCCGGGCTGGTTTTGAACCACAATCTTCAGATCTCATCTCATCCTCCTGAGTAGCTAGGATTACAGGTGTAAGCCACTGGCACCCAGCTTTATTTATTTATTTTGTTTTTCGTTGGTTGTGGGGCCTGAACTCTGGGCCTGAGCGCTGTCCCTCAGCTCTTCATTTGAGACTAGCGCTCTACCACTTGAGCCACAGCCCACTTACGGCTTTTTCGGCTTATGTGGTGCTGAGGAATTGAACCGAGGATCTCATACATGTAAGGCAAGCACTCTGCACTGAGACACCTTCCCAGCCCCTGTTTTTGTTGAACCAGTCCTGGGATGTGAACTCTGGACCTGGGCTCTGCTATGCTCAAGACTAGTACTCTACCACTTGAGCCACAGTGCCACCTCTGGCTTTTTCTGTTTATGTGGTACTGAGGAATTGCACCCAGGGCTTCGTGCATGCTAGGCAATCACTATACCACTAAGTCACATTCCCATCCCCTAATGTATCTTTTCAAAATTATAGTTCAAGTTTTAGTTCAACCACTTATTTTGCAAATCTGTTTAAAGTGTCTCAAGAGAGATTGTAAATTCTTTATCCTGTAGCTTATCTCCTTAGCCCATTGCTTTATTTCTCAGGAGGAAGAGTGTAATCTATATTTTAGTTTGAGAATAAATTAAAATGAGGGGTTTACTACTCTGATTGTCTTAAATTGGTAGGAGGGAAATTTTAACAGGAAATGTGAGCTATGTTATAGATTTGAGCTTTTATTTCATGGAGAAGCTAAAGTAACTAAAATGACATTTTTTATGTTCCACATGGGCTACTATCCCTTTCTCTTTTTCCTTTTTCCCCATAGTGTTTGAGTTGTATAATTGGAAATTCATCTTTGTATTAGCCCTTTAAATCATTAGGACATAGCTTACAAGCTCCATCACTAAGTGAGCTAAGGCTCTCTGGTGAGAGTAAGAATGCTCTTGAGCACTAAATTGGACTGTTCTGTTACTTAACCTTCTGTGAAGGTGTGGATTTTGAACCCCAAATTTTATCTCTTCAGAATAGAAGACCAGTCTACCCTACTTTTCAAGGGCAAGATTGATTAGAGTTTATTTGAAATGGATATTAAATTTGTTATATCTTCTTTGGCTTTGAAGTGATTCAAAATCAATAAGTACTAATGAGCTATTAAAAATATGTCATCTTGTTCTCAAAAAATTTTTTTTAAAAACTCACTTCACTTGTGCATATGCTCCAAAAGTGAAAAGACCATGGAGCCTTTGTGTCATGAATTCTTATATCTCAGAACTTGAGAGTGGAAAATCAGTGAAATTCCCTTGCAGTGCTGTTGCTACAAAGGCCATAGATATTACTTCATCTTGAGAATAGGGGCCAGGCAGCTAGCTGAGCTAATCATGTCTTTTTCCTCCCCTAGGTGTATCAGTCACCTCCAGTAACACAGGCGTGCCAGATATCTCGGGTTCTGTGTACTCCAAAACCCAGGTAGGTGCCTGGCTTGGATGGAAGTAAAAAAAGGAGAGATGGTCTTAGAGGCAGTGCAGTTGCAATTATAGAAAAACAGTGGGCAAGGGGCTGGGAATGTGGCTTAGTGGTAGAGTGCTTGCCTAGCATGCATGAAGCCTTGGGTTTGATTCCTCAGTATCACATAAACAGAAAGGCCAGAAGTGGTGCTGTGGCTGAAATGGTAGTGCTAGCCTTGAGCAATAGAAGCGCAGTATAGTGCCCAGGCCCTGAGTGCCCAGGGCTAGCAAGGCAAAAAAAAAAAAAAGTGGGCAAGAACAGTTGGAGAGGTCAGAAACCCAGTCTAACTTTTCTAAATGAATGATCTGTAGACTAGCTTCTCTAGGAGTGTAAATTTAGCTCACAGAAAAAAAATAAGAAACATAACAGGTAGGTGAGTCCTGTAACTTGAAACTTGTCATTGGGCGACTGTCTCGACCCTTTTACCTATCCAATTCCAACCTCTCCTCACTTTCCAAGGGAACAAATGCAGAAAATGAAAGGAAACTAGTTCATTCCATTCTTTGTGAGTAAACCCATGACAAAAAGCTGGTGGTGGGAAAAGAAAATGAGACATTTGTTATTGTGTTATTCACTTTTTTTTTTCTTTTTGGTCAATCATGGGGCTTGGACTCTGGGCCTAGGTGCTTGAGCTCTTCAGCTCAAGGCCAGTGCTCTACCACTTGAGCCACAACACCACTTCAGTTTTCTGGTAGTTAATCAGAGTCTCATAGACTTCCTTCCCTGGCAGGCTTCGAACTATGATCCTCAGATCTCAGCCTCCTGATAGCAAGGATTACAGGCGTGAGCCACCAGCGCTGGGTGTAATTCTTAATGTTTATTCCCCAGTTAGCATAAATAAGTTTGTTGTGAAGTATTAGGAACTTGGAGGGAATTCATAGGCAAGACCTTACTGGTCTTTTGCTTTCTCATGTTTTCCAGGTAGGTTCTCAGTGCTTTTCCTAGGCAGACCTTTAGCCATAGCCCTCCTTTCACTTCCCAAGTATCACCACCCTTTGTGGCCTTTTTTTTTTTTTTTTTGGAGACTTGAGTCTTAACATTTTGCCTGGGCTGGCCTTCTTAATCTTGGGCCACCATGTTAAACCCTATTCATTTCCTTTGAACTATCTGAATTCTAATTTCTACCCAACTACTGGGGCAGGAAGGCTAAGAGGAGTTCGCACATTTCTATATATTCATATATAGCATTAGATTTTAAGGAGTTCTTTCATGTTCATCCTCCTTTTTGATCCTTATAATTGAAAGTTCAGTAGTGCCCTTTTTTTTTTTTAAGTGAGGAAACTTAGGATTAAGAGACCATAATTTGCCTACAATCATGATGGAATTAATGCACAGAGGTAGAACTGACGATTTGAATATCTTAACTTCAAGTGCACTGTTCCTTCTGAGGGTAGGGAACTTTGGGCTCAGAAGTACCCGGATTTCCTTTGTTGACCCCTTTTACTCTTTGCTTGGATAGCAGTCCTTTGAGAAACAAGGATTTCATTCCGGTACTCCTGCTGCCTCCTTCAACTTGCCTTCAGCCCTAGGAAGTGGAGGGCCCATAAATCCGGCCACAGCTGCTGCCTACCCACCTGCCCCCTTTATGCACATTCTGACCCCCCATCAGCAGCCGCATTCCCAGATCCTTCATCATCACCTGCAGCAGGATGGCCAGGTAACAGCCCTCCCCCTCTCTCCTTTCCCTTCCTCTTCCTTCCTATCCCTTAAAACTACCTCCCCTTTCCTTTTCTTACCCTTCCTTACCACCACCTTCACCCAATCCTCCCCAGTGCCAGCCAGGGGCACACAACACATACAGACACAAGCGCACATAACATGAGCAGCCAGCAAGGGAAATGTCAGAGAATGGGCCAGATTAAAACCTTTTTTGCTCAGTTCCTTTGATGCCTTTCTCCTCCACCTCCTCCCACGGCACCGTTGTCCTCATCCCATCAGCCCTGGGTCACACCTTCCCTTTACCTCTCCCAGCCTTCCCTCTTCCCTGACATTGTAGCTTTCCCTTCTAATGGTGGAGTTCTATTGTCAAAGTTTGTCCCTTTATTTTCCATATATCCTGGTTCTGCCTCAGCTACCATATTTGCAGATGATTCTCTGTTGCCAGCGCCAGCAGGAGGAGCAGGTAATGAAACTGAATGATATGCTTGAACCCACTCCTTTTTAGTCCCCATTTCACCTCCACAGCCTCAGAAAACTTGAAGAGAAAAGATTAAGTGGTCACAAAACAGGATACACAAACACAAACACTTTGCTGAGCTCTCTGGCCTCCCCATCCTCTTTCTTCCTCCCCTCCTCAACACCCTCTTTATCTTTCCCCTTCCTTAGCTCTGGAAAACACTGGGTTACCAGAAAAAGATTCTTGGGGCAGCATCTGGAGCTTGAAGCATCAGACTCTTCTCTTTTGCTTTGCCTGAATTGGGCTCACAGATGTTGGTGGTGGGTAGATCTGCAGGGTGGTGCAAGAGACTGCTCAAGAGCTCCATCACAGGTGGCTGGAGAGCTAGAATGAGGGCTTTTTTTTTTTTTTTTTCCTTTTAAAGATGGCTTTCTAAATTGAGGCATTCATGGAGATCAATGAAAATCACCTTGTGATCACTCACCTCCAAGAGGCCATAATTCTCAGTTGTGGGTTGTTGTGGTTTTTTTTTTTTTCCAGACCAGGGGTGGAATGAGTGGGAGGGGTAGAGAAGATAGAATGCAAAAATATCTTATCCTCTTTTCATTTTCCCCTGTTTAAATATTAACTATGTTCTTGTAGAGAGGAGCTCTACTAGCTATCAAGTCCAATTTTCTATGGTTCAGAAGTTAATTTCATATAGGTCTGAAGTAAGGGGAATAAGAAAGCAAGACAGTTTGCACATTTCCACCTAAAGATGTTACAGATTGGTCCCACTAACTAGACACCTTTTTCCTCCCCATCATCCTCCCATTCCCTGCAGACGGGCAGCGGGCAACGTAGCCAGACCAGCTCCATCCCGCAGAAGCCCCAGACCAACAAGTCTGCCTACAACAGCTACAGCTGGGGGGCCAACTGAGGCCCTGGCCCTCCTCTCCCGGTCCCATCTTCTGAGAGGGCTTCTCAGCCTGGAAACTATGGAAACAGCATCAAAGAGAGAAAGGAATGTGGGGGGATTCTTCAGCCTCCCACCCAGCGGCCCACCCCACGCCTCTGCTTCATGTCTGTCCCATTCCCATACCATCCCCACCCTGTTGTATGTATTATAGGATTTGTATTTTCTCTTTTTTTTTTTTCCTTCCTTTTCCTCTTCCTACTCTCCCCTTGCATTCAAGATTATGAAACTTTGCTATGGGCCCTGACCTTCCTTCTTCCTGTTCATCCTGGTGGTGTATGGGTGAGGTGGGGAGGGGGACCCCGAAATATATATCAGCCCAACAGCCCTAAGTCTCCTCCTTTATTATTAGGAAAACAAAACAACAAAAAATGGCGTCATGAATATGAACAGCATTGTCAGATGAATTAGTTGAAGTGTTTTTTTTTTGTACTGTGTCTTCAAATTTAATGGATTAATGTGTCTTGTATATATAAAACAAAAACTCTACCTTCAGCCTCTGCCCATTCTTGCTCCGTCTAGGATATCCTCAGTCTCGTCGATGACCAGCTTGGTGAATAAGTATTACCGTACGAACTGGGCCTCTATTAGGTCCCGAAGGCAGTGGAATAAAATGAAATCTTTGCCCTTTCAGAACTCCTCTGACCTTAATGTGCTAGTGAAGGGATTCCTTTCACCCCTAAGAATTTCACAACCTGTGCAACTGGAAAGAATCACCACAAATCTTCATTGCCTCCAGAAACTGCCACATCTACAGCAAGTTAAGGCCATAAAGGGAAGAGATAGAAAATTGGATGGGAAGGGGGAGGATTGTGGAAGAATTGAGAAACATTTCAAGGAAATGGCTTTATGGAGTTGAAATACATACGTATGGCTTTGATGGTTCCAGACAAATAAAACTAAGAAGAACTCGAGGGCAATATTTGCATTTGGCTGACAAAACAAATTTGGGGTCCTTCCTGACATGAGTATACTAAATATTTGCTTCTTGAGTACTTTTCTGTGGCTTAAATATACCTAATCCCATGCAAAGGCATTAGAGTCTAGGGCAAGACATGGGTTTGGGATGGGGTACAAAGAGAGGCTTTGAAAATCAGTATTAAAAGGGATTTGGTCAGCACTAGGTTTCAACCTTGGGCTTGGCAGACTGGCACCCTAACTGCTTGAGCCACATCCCCTTCTAAGTCATTTTTAAGAATGGGATGTGGCCATATGGCTGCCTCTGGAGACCCTCCTTTCCCCCGTAGTTGATTATAGACATTCCATCATACTTGCTGGAAGGAGGAAATCTTACAGCCTCACATTCTTTGTTCCTTTCTAGGACGCTTGAGTAACATCCCTGCTTGACTATAAAGCTTTTATAATTTTTTTATCTTGCTGGTTATAGAGAGCCTGTTTGGAAATATTAAAGAATCCTTTATGGTCATGACTCCGTAGTAGCTAATAATGAATTCATGCGTTCCCTTGTTTTTATTCTGTGCTTCTGAATTTGTATTTGAAGGAGTTTTGACTCAGTCCATCTAACATTTGAAGTTACCCACGTTAATCTGGAGAAAACAAACGTCTAGGAGTCCAGAGGGTAGCGGCCTGTGGCATCGCCCGGGGGCGGCCAGTGGGGTAAAAGGGGTTTCAAACAGGTCTGTTGGTAAGGTGAGGGCTGCCTTCTGGCGAAATCGTCTGGTCTCCACCCGAAGCGCCTGTCGAGCAGATCGGCTGGGCTAAAAACACTAAGAGGGAGGTGAACCGCCGGAGAGAGCCCGACCCATACCTCGCAGGAGAGCGCAAGGCTGGGTGAACGACAAAGCTTTTCCATCCGGTCAGCCCCGCCCCCCTCGCTCGTTCGCCTTACGGCTGCTTTACGATAATGCCGCGCCCCGCGCTTGCTTTCCGACAGTGCCGGCGGACGCCTCACAATTTCCGGTGGCGTATCTCGGCGGTGTTTGCGTGCGAATGGGCTGCGGGAGGGTCTCAAGGGTCCGGGTCCCGCCATGGGAATGAGCTTGTTCGACCTCTTCCGGGGCTTTTTCGGCTTTTCTGGACTTCGGAGGTGAGAGTAGTTCTGGGCTGGACAAGGGAAGGGTGTTCTGGAGAAAGCTTGGCCCCCTTCGTCGTATTTTGGGGGAAACTTCCTCTGCTCCCACTCTGGAGGAGAGGACGAAAGTCGCCACATTGAGTAGTCACCACGCAACCGTAACCATGGCGGCCGTTAGGAGGAGAAACGGCGCCTTACACCTTTTTCACCAGTGTTGGGTGATGCCACAGGGACCTGGGCGGGGACGTTAATGGGGATCTGAGGAAGAGGACGGGAGCTGGTGAGCAGGCCCTTGGGAAGTATGGAAGGGGCGGGGGTCACCGGAAAAACACGGAAAGGATTTGGGAGGTTAGGACAGACGAGAGGAAGAGGAAAACCCAGTAAGACCTATCAGCAGTAATGCTTTGACTTGACAGCTGTTCCTCCAACATTCACCCCAGCTTCCCAGCCCACCTACTCTAGTCCCATTTTGCGTTGATTCTATGCCATAAGTGGGGCTGAAGTCTTGGTGCCTTACCTGCCTCCACCCTCAGCCACAGGGATCCCTTTTTTGGAGGGATGACTCGAGATGAAGATGAGGATGATGAGGACGAGGAAGAAGGAGCCACATGGGGTCCTGGGAGCTCGAGTTTTGGTGGTTCTCAGCCCCCAGAGGAATTTGGCTTCAGCTTCAGCCCAAGAGGAGGGATACGTTTCTATGATAATTTCGGCTTTGATGAACTCGTTCGCGATTTCAGTAGCATCTTCGGCGAGATGGGAGCCTGGACCTTGCCTTCCCGCCCTCCTGGTGTGTGGATTTCCCTGAGGGAGAACTCATGTTTGCTAATAGGTTGGTGGGTGAAGTAAAGAGCTTGCAGGGAGTAGTTAGGGGATGGAATGTGTTGACAAGACTGACGATTTCAAGGAGATTTAAAGGGCCCAAGTCCTTTCCCACCCCAGCATCGATGTGCCGCCTTTTTGCAGAACTTCCAGGTCCTGAGTCAGAGACACCTGGTGAGAGACTGCGGGAGGGGCAGACGCTTCGGGACTCAATGCTTAAATACCCAGATAGTCATCAGCCCAAGATCTTTGGGGGGGCCTTGGAGAGTGATACAAGAACTGAAACCTCCAAACCAGCACCAGACTGGGGGTCCCCGAGACCTTTTCATAGGGTGAGTACTTAAATCTGGGCATAAAGTGAGAGACCACTAATGAACAATGGCTAGAATCAATTCTACCACATCCACTTATTGTATTTAGCTTCTTATTTTATCTTTCTAATTGTGCTGTGGGGATAGAATAGAACTCAAGGCCTCATGCATTGCTAGGCCAGTGCTCCTTCATTGCCCTATACTTTCAAACCGGTTTTCTATAGTAAGCTGCTTTGGAGAAAAATAGGACTTCTTCAGGTGGAGATGATTCTTAGATATAAGACAAGATTCTTGGGGGGAGGACAGACAAGGTTCAGGAAAGCTTCTTGGTTAAAGGGGCATTTGAAACAACCAAGAGGGAAGAATTGGTAGTAAGGCTATCCTAAATGGAATTACTTCTCCTGGGGAAAAAGGGTTCTGGAACTTTGGAGTATTTTGGGGTATGTGACCCTTCAGGTTTCAGTCTGGAAGGTGTCTTTTCATCTACTATGTATGGCTTCTTCTACAGTTTGATGATATGTGGCCTGTGACTCCCCATCCTAGAGCCAGAGAGGACAATGGTGAGTCTACAAGGAGAGGGAGCATTGACTATCCCTTGTTATTCTGGAGTTCTTCTTAAAGTTCTTTCTTGCTGTACTCCATTTTGTTCCCCTATGACATTCTCTTCTGGTTCTGCATCTCTGCCTTTCTAGATCTTGATTCCCAGGTTTCCCAGGAAGGTCTTGGTCCTGTTCTGCAGCCTCAGCCCAAGTCCTACTTCAAGAGTATCTCTGTGACCAAGATCACAAAACCAGATGGGGTGAGTTGGGAGAAAGGAATAGAGTGAAGCAGCTAAGGAATGCCCTGCAAAGAGGGACCTGTGTAAAGAAACCCTTAACATATCTCTAAGTTATATTAAGAATGTGCTTGGGGGGCTGGGAAGGTGGCTCAGTGGTAGAGTGCTTGCCTTGCATGCATGAGGCCCTGGGTTCGATTCCTCAGCACCACATAAGCAGAAAAAAGCCAGAAGTGGTGCTGTGGCTCAAGTGGTAGAGTGCTAGCCTTGAGCTGAAGAGCTGAGGAACAGCGTCCAGGCCCAGAGTTCAAGCCCCATGACCAAAAACAAAAAGACCTGGGGGCTGGGAAGGTGGCTCAGTGGTCGAGCACTTGCCTTGTATGCATGAGGCCCTGGATTCGATTCCTCAGCACCACATAAGCAAAAAGAAAAAAGCTGGAAGTGGTGTTGTGGCTCAAGTGGTAGAGTGCTAGCCTTGAGCTGAAGAGCTGAGGGACAGCGCCCAGGCCCAGAGTTCAGGCCCCATGACCAGACCCCAAAAAAAATTTTTAAAAATAAAAAATGAGAATGAGCCCTGTAGGCTCCAAGCCTGTAATCCTGGTTTAAAGCCGGGTTGGGCAGGAAAGTCTGTGAGATTCTTATATCCAGTTAACCACCACAAAGCTGAAGTAGAACTGGGCCTATAATTCTAGCTATTCAGGTGACCAGGCAGAAAGTCCTTGAAACTCTTATCTCTAACCACCTAAAAACCATTTGAACTGTAGCTCAAAGTGGTAGAGTACTAGCCTTGAGCAAACAAAGCTCAGGGACATGGCCTACGCCCTGAGTTCAAGTCCCAGGGCCAGCATAAAAAAGAAAAAGCCAAACATTGGTTGTTCACATCTATAATCCTAGCTATTCAGGAAGCTGAGATCTGAGTTCAGAACCAACCCAGGCAGGAAAGTCTGTACAACTCCAACTAACCACCAGAAAAATGGAAGTGGAGCTGTGGGTCAAAGTAGTACAGTGCTACCCTTGAGTGAAAAACCTCAGGGACAGCATCCAGGCCTTGAGTTCAGGCCCAGTTAGCCTTCAGGAAAAAAAGAAAATGAAATTATGCTGAAGAGATATTTCTGTTCTCATGTTCATGGCAACATTGCACATAATCAAGACTGAGTCAACTAAGTGTCCAAAGAAAGAAAATGTGGCATATATACATGAGAATATTATTCAGCCTTAAAAACAGTGCATGCCTAAGGCATGTATTGTTAACTTAAGCCCAGGAGTTCAGAACCAACCTTGGTCTTAAGAGATCCTATCTCATGCTGGCACAGGTGGCTAATGCCTATAATCCTAGCTACTCAGAAGGCTGAGATCTGAAGATCGAGGTTTAAAGCCACCCTGGGCAGTGAGACTCTTATCTCCAAGTAACCACCAGAAAACTGGAAGTAGCACTGTGGCTTAAGTGGTAAAGCCCTAGCCTTGAGCTGAAGAGCTCAGGAACAGCGTCCAGGCCCAGAGTTCAAGCCCCATGACCAAAAACAAAAAGACCTGGGGGCTGGGAAGGTGGCTCAGTGGTAGAGCGCTTGCCTTGCATGCCTGAGGCCCTGGGTTCAATTCCTCAGCACCACATTAGCAAAAAAAAGCCAGAAGTGGTGCTGTGGCTCAAGTGGTAGAGCACTAGCCTTGAGCTGAAGAGCTGAGGGACAGCGCCCAGGCCCAGAGTTCAGGCCCCACGACCTGACCCTAAAAAAAAAAAAAAAAGCCAGTCCAGGCAGGAAAGTTGCCTTGAGCTGAAGAGCACGGGGACAATGCCCAAGCCCAGAGTTCAAAGCCCACAACAGGAAAAAAGAAAAACAAAACAAAACAAAAAAAATGTGCTATCCTTGAGTAAAAGAAGCTCAGGGATAGTGCCCAGGCCCTGAGTTAAAGTTCCAGGACTGCCCCCCTCCCAAAAAAAAGACAAAATAAAATGGGGGGGGGGTGTAGTTGTGGAGGTGGGATGGAAGGGGTGATAAGGGAAAAACAAAGGAGGAGGTAAACAATGCTTGATAGGAAATGTACTCATTACCTTGCTCATGTAACCCCTCTGTACAGTATTTTTACATTTAAAAATATTAAAAAAGAAAAAATGAAATAAACCTGTAACCTCTCTGTACATCACCTTATTTTTTTTGTCAGTCATAGGGCTTCAACTAGGCCTGGGCACTATCCCTCAGCTCTTTAGCTCAAGGCTAGTGCTCTACCATTTGAGCCACAGTGCCACTTTCGGTTTTCTGGTGGTTAATTAGAGATAGTCTTATGGACTTTCCTGCCTGGGCTGGCTTTGAACTGCGATCCTCAGATCACAGCTCCTGAGTAGCTAGGATTACAGGCGTGAGCCACTGGGACCTGGCTTGCAATAAATAAGAAAATAAATAAAAAATAAAAAATAAGAAAAGGCAGGCAAAAGACAATGGAGAAATACTTCAGTGCTGGGAATGTGGCTTAGTGGGGATGTGCCTAGCTTACATGAAAGCCCTGGGTTTGATTCCTCAGTACCACATAAACAGAAAAAGCTGGAAGTAGTGCTGTGTCTCAAGTGGTAGAGTGCTAGTTGAGCAAAAGAAGTTCAGGGACAGCACCCAGGCCTTGAGTTCAAGCCCCGAGACTGGCAAAAATAATATGTATAGAATAATTTCAATCTAGAATTGTGAACCCAGTATAACTATCAAATTTGGAGTGTGCCAGTATTGAGCTGGGCACTGGTGGTTCATATCTGTAATTCTAGTAACTCAAGAGGCTGAGATCTGAGCATCACAGTTCAAAGCCCAGGTAGGAAAGTCTTCCTGAAAAAGCAGGAAGTAGCACTATGACTCAGAGCCACAGTGGTAGACGGCTAGCTTTGAGCAAAAGATGCTCAGAGACAGAACCCAGGCCTAAGACCAACAAAAAAATAAAATAAAAATTTTAAAAAACATGGAATGTAAGCCAGCATTGGAAGCTCATGCCCTGTAACCCCAGCTACTTGGAAGGTTAGAGGTCAACCTGGGCAGAAAGGTTCTTGAGACTCCTTGTCAGAGGATAGCTGAGTGCAGTAGTGTGCACCTGCCATCCTAAGTATGTGGAAGGTTGAGATTGGGAAGATTGTGGTCCCAGGCCAGCCCAGTGAGCTGAGGAGAACCACCACCATTGTGGCAACACCCTTGTCATATCAATTATGATAGGAAGCCTGAAATAGATGGATCATAGTTCAGGTACACATCTGGGTGGGAAAACAGATCTTATCTCAAAAATAACCAGTGCCAAAAGGGCTGGAGACATGGGTCAACAGTAGTATACCTACTGAGCAAGTTCAAGGCTCTGAGTTTAAACCCTAGTATTGAGCTGGGCACTGATGCCTCCTACCTGAAATCCTAGCTACTCAGAAGGCTGAGATCTGAGGATTGTGGTTCAAAGCCAGCCCAAGCAAAAAAGTCCTTGTGAGACTCATCTCCAATTAACCATTCAAAAACTGGAAGTGGTGCTGTGGTTCAATGTGGTAGAGCACTAGCTCTGAGCAAAAGGGCTCAGAGACAGCTTCAAGGCCCTGAGTTCAAGCCCCACAACTGCCAAAAAAATAAATAAATCCCAGTATATCACTCACACACACCTCAGAATAATGAAAGGTGGTTCTATGATATGGCTGCTATTTTAAACAGAACAAATGATCCAGACTACTGCATGTCAGAATGATCCAGAAGCTATGTTTTTCTTAGGGAGGAGGGGGAGAGAGAACGGAAGACCCTGTAGGAAAGGAAATGTACTCATTATCTTAATCATGTAATTGTAGTCCCTCTGTACATCACTGTTATAATAGCAATAAAATAAATTAATTAAAATAAGCTAGTGTGGTAGTAGTACATGCTTATAATCCTAGCTACTCCAGAGGCAGGGTGGGAGGAGCAAAAGTTTGAAGTCATTTTAGGCAATTACTGAGACCCTATTTGAAAAACAAAAAAAAGGCCTGCCAAAACAAAAAGGGCTGTGTCTTAGCTCAAGTGGCAGAACAATTGCAAAGCAAGCACAAGGCTCTGAGATCAATCTTGCAGCATCAGGAAACAACAACAAAACAACCTAAAAGCTTGGTGTGAGCTGGGCTAAAGTGGCTAGCTACTCAGAAGACAGATCTGAGGATCAATGTTTGAAGCCAGCCCAGGAAGACAAATCTGTGAGATTCATATACAGATAACCAGCAAAAAGGTGGAAGTGGAAGGGAGCTCAGGTTGTGGAATGCCAGCCTTGAGCAAAAATAAAAGAGAACAAGTTGGCTAAGAGGGTGGCTTAGTGGTAGAGTGCTTGCCTCTCATGCATGAAGCCCTGGGTTCAATTCCTCAGTACCACAGAAAAAGCCAGAAGTGGTGCTGTGGCTCAAGTGGTAAGAGTGCTAGCCTGGAGCCAAAGAAGCTCAGGTAGAGTGCTCATGCCCTAAGTTCAAGCTCCAGGACTGGCAAAAAAAAAATTATATATAAGCCGGGCGCTGTTGGCTCACGCCTGTAATCCTAGCTACTCAGGAGGCTGAGATC